GGACCTAAAGGTCTGGCTAAGTGACCTCACAATCTGGTATCTAATCTCTTATCTAATTATACATGTGGGTTCTGTATGGATGGTTTGACTGTGGAATCACATGGATCCAACATTTAAAATAAAAACACAATTTAAGTAGAACCTTGTTTTTTTAACCGATTATTTAGAAACATACTACAGAATTAGCAATTATAATACTTTTAAATATACTATGTTGAAAACGCTGTTTCTTAGTCTTTTTTTTAGTCATAATATAACGTAGATGACAAGCGAGCGGCAATTATAAGCGGACGGCAACTTTTTACCAACCTTATAACCAACATGTCAAATAACTCGATCACAGCGCATTTAATTTAATCTAATTAATCAGATTCTTCTTTTTCAGACGTTTCTATCTCTATTGTATAAGTTCGCGTATCATGGTCAGTGTTGCCGCAAACGCCACAACGTCGCTCACGTGCTGCCGCCCTCCTTGTACGACGATCACTTTCACCCATTTCCTGTCTTGCCAGCTCACTAGTATCTTTTGCAGTCTGAAGACTTGTCACGGCGAGCGTACTGAGAAGCTGGGACATGGCCGGCAGCAAGCAGCTATTACTCTATTGACGAGAATATCAAGACTAGAGAGGAAAGGAAGAGAGAGAGAGATAGGTACAGTAGGAGGTTGCCCCTTTAAGGGGATCCTCTGGTCAGATCCTTCCCCTATTAGGAAGTATCCGCTTGTCATGTGGAAAGGTCTGTGCAGGCCGTCACAAGACTTGTTATATCATTGACAGAAAATATTCCCCTTTTATTAGATATTTGTTTTTTGTTCTCTGGCATTTATTTAATAGGTGATTGGCCTCCTGTAGCCGGCAGATCCGGGAATCAGTCAAAGCGGCCTTGCGCATAAGACAGTATGTAGCCTTTAAAAACAAGCTCAATGTATCAACTATTGATATAGTGTCATGGTCTGGTATAGGTAGACCATGTGGTGAGTCTTGGAGCCCGGACATGAGTACATGTACCACTATTAAATGTCAAGCTGCCACGCTTGATATTCGACATCCTTTTGGGAGGAACAGCCGTGGCATGGTGGTTATAGTGAGCGTTCCATCACATATAGGTGAGCTTCCCTGATGGTTTCTAACTCAATTCTGGATATAAACTGATTGGTTTACCGCTTTATTAATGGTGGTAGGCATCTTTGAAGTCTAAGTAATGGGTGGCAGATTGGGGTCCGGCAACGTTGTTCGTACGACAGCGACAGTATCCAGCTTTAAAATGACACTTTCTGAGTCAAAAAGAACAAGCCCAGTGGCAATGAAACCTGCTCGAATGTTTCCTAGTATTATAGTAGTGTTATGTGCTTCATAAAACGCTGTAAAGAAGTCCTCTTTTGAAACATGGGTTATATGACACCGGATGAGATCCTCAATCATGCGACCGTAAGCTTGTTTGAGCGGGCTAAAACAGCCGATATTTAAAGGCTGGAGCCTGTGTGATAAGTGGGCAGGCATGCAAAGGGTAATGATACCATTGTTCTGACAATAATTCTTAAAGACCTATGAGTAGTGGCTTTTGTGGCCATCTAGGATGAGGAGGCGTTTACTGACAGTCATACGCGGTCTGGTATACTTGTTAAAAAGCTGAATCCATTTTAAACCAATCTCGTTTGTAGTCCACCTCTTGTCCGACACGGTCACCTTCCAATTGCGTGGTAATGTCGTGTCGTGATACCCTGACGCGAGATGGGTTTTGCCCTGTAAAATAATGAATGGCGGGACCACCTAACCATCAGCATTAATAGCAGAAATTGTTGTAGACCATTCCTTGTTACTTTGCTGAGCTTGTCAAGGCTTGCCACATCTTTTGAGGCTTATAATAACTATACCGGACCCAATAATGCCTATTATAAACCCAGTGTTGTTAAAGTTATAAATATCCGCGTCTTGAATGCCATGTTTTGTGATTGCTATTGCAACTTGGCAAAATCACGCGCAATATGCATCTGTATCTTTGTTTAAGACCCTCTGTTAGTCTATCTTCCAATAAAAACGCGTCCAAAGGCCTGGTGTACGTTTGATGAAGTTCTGCGTCCAGTTCTTTCTGACGCGTCCAGCCCCACACGCTGCTAACAATTGATTTGTCATATCTTCAATAGAACTGTACCGGGAAGGAAATGGTCGCGCATCTAGGTCCCGATTATAAAAGAGCAAATGGCATTCTCTTCATAAACTGTAAGTTTCAAAGTATTGAGCATGTTATCGCGTTGTAATGGTCGGTCGGCAATTCTAGCCTTTAAGGAATTATACAGGACGTGCAAAGTCTTAGAAAGCTTGCCAATAGTAATATGAGGGTCACATCATTTAGCTTGAGCAGCAAGCTGTAAGTCTGATTCGCTATAACGCAATGCCATTATTATTGGTTGATTAATTAGGAGCCTTGATGAAAAGGTTAGGTAGCCGGTGAAAAGTTGACATTCGCTTATAAATACCGCTCGCTTGTCATCTACGTTAGTTAACTTTTAATTATTTTTGACTTTTAGAAGCGCTATATGCAGCTACTTATAAGAAAATATTAAAATGTATAGATCGATTTTAATTATATTAAAAAACTAACTTTAAGCTTTATTTTCTACTATAATAAAATAAATGGTAATGAAATATTAGTATCTTAACTACGGCTAGGTATAATTGGTATTATTTAAGACAGCTTTTACTTTCATGATAATTTAGACTTATTTATTAAATAGCTCTTTAAATATTTTTAATTTAATATTATAATCGTGAAGCTTAATAATAATTAAATGGGTGCTAGTATTGATTCCTCCGTTTAAAGTTAAGTTTAGAGTAATATAATAAAAGCATTAACCTTAAATTAAGAACAAAAAGTCGAGATTTTTTGAGTGCTAACTTTTATAAGAATTCAATTAATAGCTATTTAACTATATTTCATACCTAATTAATATAGTTATTATTTAATAAATACTTTTAAACTTAGCCGGGAAAACGTTATAATATGATAGTTTTAATCTTATCCACTGCGCTCTGGTTTCGACGAGTACTGGTCATCGACCCTGGCAAGGACGAGTATATAGCTGTGGCCATGACGATGGTGGAATATGCCGTCGGGAAAGATTTGTGGTGCATCGGCAGTGGTGCCAGTCGATTCGGCCTGGTGACCCCGCTAGTAAACAGTCTGGTTGCAGGACGCCCGCGGTGGGAAGGGATCTCCATCAGGGTGGACGGTACGTAGTCTGCCGTCGAGTTGCGTTCCTTCGTGGCACCTGCGACTGTGACTTGCTTCACGTCGTCCAGCACGAGCGGTCTTCGGCTTCTGGCGGATTTCTGCTTGACACGAATGAACGGATGAGAATATTGTAGATGCTGCACCCGTGAAGAGCGCTTAGAAAAACCTTTCGTAAAATTTTTGCTTTTAACCCGGCTCACGAAACCTTTCAATTACAACTTTAACGTTTTATTAGTTAAATTAATTAAATTTCTTAACTATGATAAGTAAGTAATAAAAATATTTAAAATATTTAAAGGAAAAAAAATCGCTTATTATAAATAAATTATAACTAAGTTTTTATTTAAATAATACTACTTTATTAAATCGTTTACCTTTTAAAAAATTAACAACTTATTACCGCATCATTTTTACGATTATATAATTAACTTTTTCTCAAATATTACTTTGTTAGCTATCTGGGCGCGCCTTTAAAACTAAAAAAGCTATTACTTTTATAATAACATTATAACGACTATTTAAATAAAAGCTTTGTTAAGGCTAGTTTTTTCTCAGCTGCCGCTCTTATTTTTTTAACCAAAAACCTAAAATGCAGTATTTATATCTATATTCAGGATAAAGGATTAAATAACGTTATAATACAAAAAGTAAGACTTAATTTTATTAATTTACGAGACTTTTAGTAATTTGACTAAAAGAAAACTTTTTATTAACTTCAATATTACGGCAGTATTTGACCGGTTAAGCTGTAGGTAGTGTCACTCGTATACCCACCTACCTCGTTCCCAGTCGCCTGAAGTTCAAAATCGGCGGCCGTAGAAAGCTCTCGACCCATTTCGGAACATCTTGTATTGGCCTATAAGTTACACACATGATGTTCCCGACTACTACACGATTACGACCGAAGTACGACCATACTCTGCCCTTTATAGGGCCTCCAACTTGACATGACATTCGCGCGGTTTCCTAAAAATCCGTTCCACGGCTTCCATACTGTTCAGCTCTTCGGGCAGTGGGAGCATCCTGAAGCTGAGCGTAGCGTGCCGTGATGACGATTCGCACTTCGTGCATAGCAAGTCTCTTCCCGACCCGAAGTCTACGGCTGATTTGAGCACGTAGTCGAAAGGGTTGAAGCGCCTGCAGTACCGACGAGGACGTTACTCGCGCCGGATGCAGAAGCTGTTCGCAGCAGCTGGGCGGCCCGGCTCTATAAGGACGAAGAATCCGTGCTTGAGGAGCTCGAGCACATACGGCGTAGAACCTGGCCGCTCGTAAAGCACCTTCTGGTCTTTCTCTGGCAAGTACACCAAACGGGGATAGGCCCTGGCATTGTGACCCGTCTACCCTCCGAGATACCTCGGCTGAAGCCTTCAGGAGCCCAGCAGTACAAGCCAAACCCCTTATTGCCGTTGCAAATGTCCCCCGCTTACACACTCCATGCAGAAGTAATGTGATACAAAATCTATCCAAGAGCCAAGTATGAAGGGCAAACGCAGACCGGCCTAATGCATGTGTCCGAGACACAACAATCGTAGATGCTCCAAACAGGCTCACAAGTGAGTGACAAGTCGCACACCTATAAGTACCGGACCTACATCTCTCTAAACACAGTCTTCAATCTTCCTTCCCCACCACTCGGACATGCAAGACTCATAACACGCAGACCATCTACCCTCCCTCCACAGCTCTGGCCAACTTCCCACAAGCCCATCCCATCGTGATTGTAAGCGGACAATCACACCGCATCTCCCGCCTCAACCACAGCAGCTATGTCCTGCAAGAAACCGTCAACTTCCGCCTATAATGCGGACAAAGCCCACATTGCTGAGAAAGAAAGGGAGCAGCAACGTACAAGGGAGGCTGAGCAATGGTGGGAAAAAGCGAGACGAAGAACCACGATTGCGGAATCAAATGCCATGTGGGATAAAGCGCTCAAAGAACACTATGGCAAGGACTTTTGGCAAGTGAGGGCGTGGAAATATGCCTGCGCGAACCGCCACACTGCCAGCTCAACCCCGCTTGAGGATGGCAGCGCGTCTGAGGGGCACAGCGGGGATTCCAAACAGGGAGGCGACGGATCAAACCCCCCTGAGGAAAATGATGCCGCCGAGGTTGAGAGATTGATGTGAGTCCTGCTCGTCTCGCCGCTTAGCATCTAGAAGCTGACATAGCCAAAGCATGCCGGGTCCGATTGCCGAGGTCGGCCGTAACCGTGAGTACTTGCCTATGAGGCCTCCCGCGCAAGCATTGTTTACTCCCACCTCTCGGGACGCCCCTTTCCCTGGGGTCGAGGGAAGCGGCAGGGAGGGTGCGAGTCGCATGATAGTTGCTAATTCTTCATGTTGAAGTGGAGGAGAGCGCGGAGGGCCATGACCTCCATCGCAAGAAGTGAGCCCCGCGAGGACACACTCAGGATGTCGAGCTGGCAGGCTCATAAGGGTAGCCTGAACCAGAGGTCGTGCCCTTATCCGGGCTGGGTCGGTCAGCGAACATGATGACTCGAGGGTACGCAGTTCTTTGGTTCGCGATGGATATTCTGGGATGGGTTCTTTTTCTATTGGGTGGTCGGTGCTATGAGCCATCGGGGCGGGACAGCGACGGCGATGATGAGAGAGCGGCGAAGCAAAGTCAGAGGAGCATAGATGAGGCTCATGAGACCTAATTTTGTACTCTGGCACAAGCAATCTCGATGCACTTGACTCGCAGGAGGCTTATATGGCCAGCATTTAATGCTGTTGCTGAAAAAGAAAAGCAACCTGTGATGAGTGATTGTAGCCGATGAGACCCATATCAATGTCGTGTACAATCCCGAGCTCCTCCCCATATCGGCCGAGGTTGGAAAGTCACGTTCCTCATCAGCAGCTACAAATCTCCGAGCCACAGTCAAGCGCCTGTTCGATAAGCTATATGACCGCCAGGCAGCTGGTCTAAAAGGGCGTAAATATCTACTACCCCCAAAGCATATTGTGCCCTACAGTATCAAGTACGCGAATTGCGGCATCCGCACCATCGCCCGCAATCTGGAAGTGTCTCGACATGTTCGCGGACACCGTGGCGCGTAAATATCTGGATGTCGGAGTAGGTGTTATTACTGGCCGGTTCAACTGCGGTGTTGCCGGACAGGATCTTCCCTAGTACTGTCAATGCAGACTCCCTCAGCTCGTTACATTGGTTGACATAGGCGCTATGTTGGGTCAGCTGCTTTATAGGTACGATGGGAAGCATACCACTTTGCGAACGATGGCCGTGTTCTGTTATCTTTTTAGTGTGTTGAAGGAATTGTATAAGTGGTGGGCGTGCGCAACCGTCGTTCCCGTCGGGATTTGCTCCTGCATTAAGCAAAATCTCAACAGAGGCCCAAGGAGCAGGTGCGAGGTGGCCCCATGCCGATTCCACAGCCCGATGTAGAAAGCTACAAACACCGTACGGTGCCGGTATCGGGAGTGGGTGCATGGAAAGAATTAGTTTAATCGCATCAGCTTGGTCCTCCATGATAGCAACTTCAAAAGGACAGGGATTCGCATAATCTTCCGGGTCATAATGACAGTTGCGTTCAACGCTATCAGAGTTGCCAGTACTCGAATGAATACGGAACGGATCAGCTCCAAGTTCGAGCAACAATCGCACAGTTCTGAGGTCAGCAGGTGGATTAAATCGCACAGTTCTGAAGTCAGCAGATTGTTTAGATCTGGACAGCTGCAGTATGGCCGAGCTAAGAGGGAAGTTGTGATAGCGATCAACAGCGTGGATATCTGCTCCTCTCTTGATCAAAGCGGCGGCAATGCCTTTGTCGTTCCTCCGGCAAGCGTAATGCAACGCAGTTGATCCGGTTCCGGAATCGACTGCAGTGACTGGGGCTCGCACGTCTTCTAGGAGATACTTAGTTACGGCCGACGGCCTGTCCTTTGTGGCTTCGAGGAGGATAAAATTGAGCGGATGATGCAGGGCTTCTTCTTCGACACATAAGCTCGCAAGCCAAACGTCGTCCCTGGAGATGCAAGCTTTCGCCAGGTTTTGCTTTGCCGATAAACTTATGTTGCCTAAGGACGCCCCAAAGTGTCCGAGCAGATCGTAAACCTCATAGACCTGAGCCGCCTCTGCCCTTTTCAGCAAGCATTGGACCATGACATCGTCCACATGTTCGTTAGAGAGCGTTTCAGGTGACGAGCTGTCGAGTAAGAACTTGAGCAGGCGATACGCGTAGCCCTCAAATTCAGCATCGAAGTTACGATCCGCGGCGAGGCTCAATGGGGAGTCCCTCTGGCTGTTAACGAGATCGAGACGAGCGCCGGACTCGAGCAGAAGACATATAACCTGCCAACAGTCACTACTGCGTATCTGATCAAGAGAAGGGCACGGTTCCATGTCGAAGAAACGATAGATGGCGTTCGTCAGAGGCGGGGTACTGAAACTGCCGAGGTGGTTGGGATCAGCGCCCGCTTCGAGTAGACACCTAACGACAGCAACGGAAGCGTCTGCCGTTTCACAATCGTCCTCTCCACCGACCGCAAGGTTCAGAGGGGTAATCAGGCATTCTCCCTCGGCCCTGTCATCGTGAGCTGCGTCCCAGTGTTCAGGCTGGTCGACATGATAGCCATGGGTATCGATCAGGGCTCGAATGAACGCCACCTGCTGCTGATCTCGGGTGTCTCGAGGCACAGTTGAGGTGTGGAACCAGAAGCGATCTCTGTCACGAACTGAAAAATGCAGAAGTTTGTCTGAAGGGTTCGTTCAAGCTCCTGCATTGAGGAGGTGCATTGCCGTCGCAAAGTTTCCAACCTCGCAGGCACGGAATAAGGGCGCTAATCCATCATCATTCTTGGCTTCCAGATCAGCGCCTGCAACTACAAGCCGTTGAATGACGCCGTCAGAGGTCCAGGACTCGCTGGCGTAATGCAAAGGAGAGTCAAAAAAATCAAGCCCATCCCTGTTGATGATGGTGGGGTCGATGTCGAGAGCACGCTGTACCAGATTTTCCAAGCCACGAGCTGCAGCCGAATGAACAAATGACGGACCGCGGTAGTATCCCTCGTCTTCAGATTCATACATCATCTGCAGTGGTGCACCCCTATCTAAAAGGAGGTTGGCAGTCGAGACATGTCCGCGACAGACAGCGTGATGCAGTGGAAACCATCGTGGGGCTGAAGTGTGGGAATGTATGTCACCCAAGTTGAAGTGCTCCTCGCAATGGCAGACTCGACGCGACGGCACGTCCAGCCTAGCTCCCGAATCCAGAAGAAGTATCAGAATTTCGTTATGACCTCTCTTTGCAGCATAGTGGAGAGGGGTGCCGTAAGTCTTAGTGTGAGAAGACTCGGCTCCCTCCCCTTTGGCGACAGCCTCCAATTCAGCGTGTGTTTCCTCACAGCCGGGACCGACAGTGTTAGGATCGGCACCATGATCCAACGCCTTTTTCATGGTACCCAATTGGCCATTCTGAGCAGCCCATATGAGAACTGACGATCGTTCATGATTGATGTTGTAGTAAAGGAGGTGTGAGTTCGCAACAAGGTAGAGCGTCTTGCAGGTACGGGCGACGCGGGACATATCCTCCACTGCTAGCTTCCCTTCACCCAAAGCCAGGACAAGCTAGAGTAGCTCGGTAGGAAGGCCGGTGACCTTTGCCATGGTGTTGGACAATGAGCAGACTTGTTCGTCGTATGCAAAGAACAGAATGTCAACAATCTATGTACGAAGGGAGATCGGGCTGGCTAGGATCCATATTGGTTATCTCAAGCTCTAGGGATCACGTGTCGATAAGGTTTCAGGGGCTCAGATCTCCACACTAGTCATCTGTAAGACGGCTATGATTCTACTGTCCCCCACGAGCGCCAGTTCATTGACGAGGAGAACGAAGCAAGATTGCTCTCGGAAACTAATACACTATGTGCTCTGTAGCAGCTCTCAGACTGACATTTCCTTCAAATGCCCCATCCAAGCTACCTGAGTAAACCGATTCGCATCACTCTACATGTACGTAATGACCAAACATCGAGAGCAAGCTGCCCCACAACTCGGCTGATAAGACCCGAGGGACCCGATGAGTCTGCGTCTCGAACGAGGATATTGACATCCGATAGTACTGTGTTTCATCACCTAATAAGCGGTCCTGTCCTATAGCATTAGTGGTTTAGTGGTAAAATCTGCCGTTGCCATCCAACTTCGGCAGGCCCCGCGTTCGATTCGCGGCTAATGCATCTTTATCTTCTGGCCTGGGTCGCTAGGTATATATTTTTGCTCTTTCATGTCACACTGATATCTGATCTTCAGGGGCCTCTTGTCAACCCTTTGATGATGGTCAGTTGAACACAATAATAAGCTGGTCTCTGAAGTACAGTAACTTTTCATGAGTGACACGCAACAGCAGGCAGGTAGTCTAAGTTGAGTTCGAGTCATCGCCGCTGTCAAGCGACAACATGAATACCCCCAACTGTACACACATCACAACTACATGCGTCAGAACAAACAGCAAGCGATCTTTCATTCCTATATTAACTTTCTGCTGGCCATGCCTATTCACTGCAGACAAGAAGTTCATTTCATATGGAACAGACGATGCGAGGCGCGACACTGCCCTTGCGAAGTGACAGTAACTCAGTCGGGCGTAGCGGCACAACTACGCTTTGACCTCCTTAAAATCCAACCTCACTTCATTTTGTGCAACTTCAACCACCCTTTCCAGTTTTAACTAGAGCTGCTATGCTTTGATCTTACCCTACAGGTACTTGCTTACCTCCAACCTTTCTCGTCGCTCACTATTCGTTTTTGCATCACTCTCCTTAATGCTATAAACCACACAAGCCCGCCCGAGCGTCACTGCGCTACTAGCAACATGTCCACAACCACCGCCGCGGCGTGCGCATCCACGCCCTCACTCCCCATCCCGGACACATACCACAGCGGCTACAGCTGCATGCAGCCAGCGGCCGCGAATCTGCGTTTCGCGACGTGCTGCTGGAACAACCCCGTCAACTACCTGAACGCCGACAAGTGCTTCGAGTGGTGTCACGTGACCGAAGACTGGTACACATCCATCTCCCTGCTGCCCGTTGCCCCTTTCGACGTCGGCAACGCCTCAGACACCGGCGCAAGCAACGGAACGGAGCGCCTGCGCCTCTCCATGAAGGCATGTCTGCACGCCGACGACTTCCCCGCCGTGGCGGACGACGAACTGATATGCCAGGCAAACTCCGACGCCACGGCGTCCCTCCAACCCAACGCAACCGCGGCGGACAGCTGCGCGCTCGCACACCCGGCCCTCGCGGTCGGTGGGATCATCCCCGCATCGCCGCCTTCATGCGGCAAGGTGTACGACGCCGCGACCGACAGCAACGAGACCTTTGCCAGGTGCTGCGACTGGGCGCCACGGAAGTTCGCAAACCACCACTGCGACGACTACTGCTACCTACCGCACGGCAACGCGTACATGGGGAAAGGCAACTTGACGGATCTCGACGCCGTGGATAGCTTCAAGCGCTGCATGTTGGACTTGGGCGGCGGCGAGAAGGCCCTTGATGGGATCAGCTGCCAGTGGAACGAGAGCATGCGCGACCTGAAGGCCCACAATATTACGACCACTGCGTACCTGAAGGGTGCGGCGGGACGGAGCATGGGCGTGTCGTGGGGTCTGGCCGTGCTGGTGGGTTCACTGGCGCTGCTTGGCGTGGTTGCGACTTGACGGATGAAATCTTCACACTAAAACCTTTGTTATATATACGACATAATCAACACATATCTTTTAACACCGCTAAAAGCTCCCGGAGTTCCATTCTGCATCGCGGTCAACTCTGCGGAGGGAATACCTATAGGTCTACGTTGTTGCTTGCTACAATGTGCTTTTAGGTCTAGCTATTATTGTTATAGGTTTGTGCCCTTTTGAAAGACGCCGTCTTAAGCAGGTTGTAAGTCAAATCACTTATGGTCCAGTGTTACGGCATTAAATGTCAACCTTACAGCCTTACGAGTTAACCTTTGCATATATCTATTCTTATTTTTTTAGTTAACTTTTATTCTTTTTATTACGTATATTAATAAGGTTATTTTTAAAATATTTTAATAGTCAAGATGTAATAGTTTAATATATTATTAAAAAGATTAATTTCCAAAAAAATTAAAAAAATTCGGTTGCTTTACCTTTGTTTTATTCTAAATGTTATCCCGGTTATATCTCTTTATACGCTTTAACTTAAGATTATATCCGACCACTTAGGTAACCTTATAAACGTATTACTTTTAAATAAACCAATACCTCTTTAATTTTACCTACTTATATTCGCTTTCTTTCTATTTAGCTTAATATTTTTACAATTATTAAGAGGTATATTAAATGAGTTAACTTTATATACTCAAGAATAAGTTTCGATAACGACGATGTAAGGGTATTGTACCGGCATGTCAGGCCGACTGGTCACCGATCGGAGCCCTAAGCCTCTATTACCACATTTCTTTTAAAACGCCTAATTCCCACAAATATACCAGGAGATATTGAAGTACCCTCATACACCTACTCCTTGGAATCACCGCCATCACCTTGCTTCAACATTCAGCTACCTTAAACCTTGCAGACGAATTAGCTATATATTAACTTAATTTAAAATGTTTAACCTTTTAAATTTTTAATTTTACAATAATCTCAACAAGAATTGCTTTTCAAATCTTAAATAAACTAATTTATTTCAAGCTTTTCTAAAAAGCTCAGACTGTACATTTTTTTCTATAAATTACTTTTTAATTTATACCGATATTATTTCGACTGAGCTCTATTATTAAAACGCTCAGGTTGAACGTTTGAAGTTTAAAGTTTTTAATTTTTAAAATAAACTTCATAGCGCCGCTAGTTTACTTTAACACTAGAAGGCTTATTCTTAAAACCTTTAAGCCTTATACATTAAAAATTAAGACTTTTGACTTGAAAACGGCTACTTTTAAAAACAATTTTACCATATAGATAATACAACTTAACTTAGTTATTACGCCGGTAATAATACAATTTTTTAACGTTAAGAAAGTATTAACATCTTCATTTTTTCAAAAAATAAGAAAGACTTTATTTTCAAGTAAGAAAAATATATTAATCAAAATACAGAGTATTATGTTAAGATAATATTCAGTAAAAACGCGGTTTTTAATAGTATTAATTATAATAAATATAACAATTTAGAAGATTTAAAACCTTAAACGCTTTAAATAAGCTTACTAGTTATTTACTTAGGTTTGTTTTAATTTTTATATTATACTAACGCTTTTACCGTTATTAATAAATAAAAAGTCGAAATATTTAAAAACATGGATTATTAAGAACTGTCACGGCGAGCATACTGTGGAGCTGTGACATGGCCTGCAGCAAGCAGCTATTACTCTATTGACGAGAATATCAAGACTAGAGAGAAAAGGAAGAGAGAGAGAGATAGGTACAGCGGGAGGTTGCCCCTTTAAGGGGATCCTCTGGTCAGATCCTTCCCTTATTGGGAAGTATCGGCTTGTCATGTGGGAAGGTCTGTGCAGGCCGTCACAAGAACCATAAAACGCTCTCATTCCGATTTCTAGCCGGTTTAACTATATAGATCTTACTAAGTAAGTTTTAATATTTCGTAATTTTATTAAGAATATTCTAAAGTTTTAATTATAACATTTAAAAAGTAAATCCGCAATTTTTCTTTTCTTTTTATTATAATTGAAGAACTTTTGTTTAAAGGCGTTATAAGATAAACTCATAAATTTTAACAAACTTCATATTTTCGCAGCTTTATTACCGTTAACAAAAAAACTTATCATTATTAAAAATGCTTTTGTAATTATTATAACGAAAAAAGTTATTACGTTTTGGATTATTTAAGAGGATAAAAGTTCAATAGCGTTGAAAAAAAGTCGAATTAAAAAGAAAAGAAAAAGAAAAACATTTAAAGATAATTACATTTAACAGTAACTATTTGAACGTTAATTAAAGTGCAGGCCAGACTTATATATACGTATAACAAGCTTTAATCTGATATTTTCCCACCTTTATTTTACCTTGAAAAACTATTATAACTATATATTTATTTTTTCTCAATATGAGCTATAAATTATAAGGTTTCATTAACTTTAAGTTTACGTAACAATCTTACTTTACTGATACGTGGCACCAGGGGTGGCAGATTGGAGACCCACTGTACGCTAGAAGATAGATTAGATAAGAGAAGGCTGCACTATAAATGTGTGTAGCTCTTGCCCTTCTAGCTTAGGTTCTTCAACCCTCTCACCACACACAATACACACCCTTATAGCCACACGCTTCATTTACTTTCGAACTATTTTTATACTCATGGGCTTTTCACTTAATAAATAAGATTATCAAAGGTTTTATTTGTTAATAAGTTATTTTTAAACATTGAGATAAAAGACTTTTAAAAACTTAAGTTTATTTCTCAAACTATGCAACGGCTTAGATTTAATTTTAAACTTATTGGGATTATAACATTATAATTTGATTATTAATCAATTCGTTAATATTATTGAACTTAAAATTTCAAAATTCCCCGCTAACTATACTATTTAAAAAGCATTAATAAACTTTTAATATATTTTTACGACATAATTAAAATGCGTCTTATTTAAAAAAGTAAAAAACAAAAAGTTGATTTCAATTAATAAGGTTAATTTAATTTTAAACCGGCTTGTTATGAACTTATCGCTAATTCTTACTTGATGTGACGAGCCGTCTAACCTATAAGGCTAGAGGGTTCTATAGGGTTTATATTCTGAGGTAAGTCAACACAAAAGACGATAGAGGCTTCTGTTAACTAGAAGACACTTAGATGCTGGGGCTTGGTCTGAACTGGGTTCACTGCGTAGTTGAGTCGTCAGGAGATTTCTCCCACCTTAGGGTTGGCTAAGATGCTTAGATTGATCACTAAGGTAAAGACTGTCTATCTATCTAGCTGGGAAATGTCTGTCCTTATATATCCAATCTCTCCCTCACTGATGGAGTAGGATCACCTTGTCCCGGAGTGATGCTCACTAGCCCACTCCCTGATCCAGTGATCCTCACAGGCTCACTCCGTGATCCAGTGATCCGTCACGTGACCCTTTGTTATGTAATCCGTAATACCCATTGTTCTGTTCCTGTCTTCTGATTCCATTGGTTCTTAGTGTACTCCCCTTGGCCCTCCAACAGGCCGTGGTATTTGTTGGTTCATAACACTTGATTTAAATGTTTACTAGATAAAACGTGTACTAAATTCGCTATTATTAAGATAAACGCAGTAAGTTTTGTAACGGCAATTAAATAAAAAGGTATTTAAGTAAATTTCTTAACACTTTAAAGAATTCACGATATAATAAACGTTTTAAAATTAAATATAATTTTTTATTAAAAAAACGTAAACTAGGTGCTATTAGGTACGATTAATAATCGATTTATAAAGCGAATTATATTTAATCCGTTAGCATGAGCCCTCCGAGAGCTTGGGAGTTTGGGAGATACTGTTCCCGTTGCAGGCCCAGGGTGATACCGCACTGAGGGCTCAGGTGATCCCCCAAGTTTTCGACCCCGTCCCGAATGATATCGCTCGGCACCATATCGTAAAGCTTGGATGAAGTTATGGCCACCAGCCATCCGAAACCCGGCTCGGTGTCTAACTGGAAGTGCCTATTGGCGAACAGCGCCTGGCTGGCCGGGCCGCTTTTCAGTGCGGTCGCGATGTCCAGGTCGTTCTCATGGAATTTGATTTCGTATGCGTATTCGGGTACATGTTAGCGTGCAGTAGACCGGCTAACTTACCTCCTTGTCAACCTCGTTGTTTTGACCGAAGTCGTGCCATGCCAGCTCGAAGAGCAAGTAACTCCGATCATTCTTGAATCCTGTCGCTTGCGTCGGTCGTCGCTTTGAGCCTCGCTCCTTGTCACTCTGGGGTATACGAAAGGCCGGTGATCTTGCGTAGGTTGAATATCGGATGTGGTCCGGGAGATGTGCTCAACAATCTGGATGAGAGGCTGCTTGCACAGCGGCGGGTTGTGGTAGAGTTACCAGGTGCCCACCGGCGACCACCGCCATATGCATGAAACGAGCACCTGCTTCCAGCAGTGGCACAAGTGCTGCCTGACACTCGGCGTATCTTCCCTCCTCCATCACCGCAACCTCTCAGATGTGTCTGGCAGTCGGCCATCAAAATAGAGATGGATGTGGTTTGATTTCGCACGTCGATGCAAGTAAAGGCAAGGCCGCGAGTCGACCTCAGACTACGTCTCCGTCGTGACCGACGTGGCAGACGTGATGTACAAATGCATCACCCAATACGACCTATGCGTGCCTTTCCCAGTCTTTTCGGCACCCACACACAAGATCCCAACTGCGTCTTGGGCTAACACGTACCTACCTAAGGTATACGCTGCCAGTTCTCATTTGTGATAACCCAGGGCCCATAGTTGCTACCCGGCGGGTGATTTTATGTTTACTGTCACATCGCTGGGTCACAAACACTATACGAGTGGTATGGTTTTCGGGCAAAGTCAGCTTTCCATTATGGTTGTTCTATCTGCAGTGAGTATGTGCTCCTTTCTAGTCGCTGTACAGGTCTATCAGATCCTCCTGAGGCTGCTCAACAGCCTCGTGCGACCGACGATTCAGCTCCAGCTGCTCGTTCTGACGTCTGATCAGAGACTCGGCCAGCTCGAGCTTCCGAGCCAGTTCGGCCAGCTGCCATTCGCTGTCCCATTCTCTGTCGCCCAGCGGATCATTCTTCTTGGTCAGCTGCTCATCCTTCTGCACCAGCTGCTCATTCTTCTGCGCCAGCTGCCATTGGATGTCAGTCAACTGCTGATCCTTCAGCTCCAGCTGCTCCTGGATCACAGTCAACTGCTGATCTTTCAGCTCCAGCTCCTCCCGGATCCATGCCAAAAGCGCCCTCTGCATTCTATTAGCTGGTGAAACCAAGACGAGTCGCGCGACAGGAACGTACCGTCGCCATCAGCGGATCCGACCTCTGAAGGATCGTACTCCCGAATCTCGGCAAATCTCCGCACCGGGTCAATGGACAGATCGGGTACAGCATGCGTAGTGTACCACGAGCCAGGCTCCGGCGCCGGGACCTGAAGGTTCGCCCAAAGACGGCCCAGCTCCTCAGCACGCAGAGGCGGCACAACCGCCATGCATTGTCTCAGTTCGGCGATGGAAAGCTCGATCGTGGCGAAGGCATACAGAATGAGAAATCGTCTCTCCTCACCCATGCCCGCAACCATGTCGGCAACCATGTCAGGGCCCAAGCATACGTCCCCACTCTTCCACTTCACGACTGCCTTGAGCCTGCTCGCGCGAAGATTGTAGCTCTGTCCAAAACCTTTCCGTCCAGCGTGGATCACATCCCGCAGTGTCAGCTCGCTGTGCTGCGAGTTCATCAGGGCCTTGATCGCTTCCATGTCCACGGGTTTCGTAATTGATGAAGGGCTCAGTACATATGGAGCAGGCTCCTGAACCTCGCAAGGTTTGAACTACTGGCCACCAAACGACGGGACTAAAAGCAAGTTAGCATTAGCAGTTAAAAATAAGCTGGGAAATACAGACAAAGCATGTTGTAAACCTGCACAAGAACCTGGTACTTTACCCACTGAGGGTTCGTCTTGTCGCTACAGACTCCAGCGATAGCTATGAGTCTGCCATGGAGGATGGGCGCGATGACCGAGAACGGGACATCACCAGATGCCATCTGCCGGGCGATATGAGACGCCGCAATCGGCAAAGACGTGGCCATCTTGTCGAATTGTAGGAGAGGGATTGAGTTGTCAAGATGTAACAATGCACGTGTGCAAGTAGTAAAGTTGTCCTGATGATGAAGTTCAGAAGGTAGTAGCAGGAATGAAGGCGGTGCAGATGTACCAGATGTCAAGATGCGGCTGTTTACTGTTGCAGGTGGAATGCACCAGTGCTCCGGCACAGGCTGTCGGATTATCTGGATGATCGAGGTTAGACGGCACAGGACGGGAATGGAAGTGGTGCAGAAGTACCCGGTTTCGAGATGTAGCAGTAATCTCGTGTAGGTGCAGGTTGTGGACTGGTCCTGATGATGGATGTCAGAAGGTGAAGCGCAGGAATGAAAGTGTGTAAGAATATTGTACCTTATGCCGAGAAGCAACAGTGCATCAGTGCAGACGGAGATAGCACTGCGTGCGAATTGTCTTGATGATGGAGTCATAATGCAGGGCAGGGAATAGGTATGTGCATAAATACCTGGTCTCGAGATGCAGTACCCTGGGTGCAGGTTGTGGACTTGTCCTGATGATGGAGGCTGAGAAGGGAAAAGATTTTCAAGGGAGAAGGTGAAAAGCCGGAGAGAAGTTGGTGGGGTAATGGGAGCGAGTCACGCTCAAATTTGAAGTTTTCGTGCGTGCAAGGCGGGGAAGGGTTTCTGCCATCAGTAATCATAGAGACACCCCCTCTGTTTACAAGTCAGGGTGAAAATTAAACTGAGCTGGTAGGTACCTCAGGTCGTCCCTGCCTCAGGACTTATTTCAACCTTGCATGACATCATTCTCCGTCTGTGACACGGCACGGGGGTCATCGACCGGAAGATTGGCCCCGGGTGTTCGTTCCTTTTCGATGTGTGCTCGTATCTGTAGCTGAAACCGTGTCGTTTCTCTGAACATCCCTTTAATCATTGCTAGTTATGGTTTTCTTCTTTTAATTTTATCAAACGGTACGTGAAGGTCTCTGCGATTTAGATCTTAATATATGCTATTACGTTTGTTCTTTTCTTTTCAAGACTAACGTGTTTAAAATAAAAAATAAGACGTTTATCTTTAACTTTTTATTTTAAGCTTGTAGAATTTTTTATTAATATATATTATATACGCTTATCTGGCATTTGTAATTAATATAGATAAAATAATAATATAAGATATAAGAAATATACCGCTTAATCCGTTGATAAATAACTTTATTATACCTGTTATTATACGTAATAAAATATCATTAATATCATAGTAAAAAGATATATAATATTACGTACCGGGTTTTAATAAACGCTTATAAAATCGAGCTAGCACGTACTTTATATTATTAAATACCACAAGGGGAAAAAGCTGTGGTATATACGGTAAAATTTATAAAATACCGATATATAGCGTTTTGAAATAATTAAAAAAGCTTTTTATCTATTTAATTTACACACTATCGATAGTATACCGGTACCTATATTTAAGATCATATCTGCCCAGCTGTTTTAAGCTATTACGTATACTCTGCTAGTTCCTTTCCGTGATAAGCCAGGGGCTATAGTTACTGCCTGGCGGGTGATTATATGTTTACTGTTACATTATAGGGTCACAAACACTGCACAAGTGCGTATGGTTCGGGGCAAAGTCAGCTTTCCGTTATTGTTATTCTTTCTACCAGGAACAAGATCCCATTCGACCTCACACCAGTGATACGTATCAACAAAGTGGTCGTATCCGCAACCATCACAGGGTCGTGGGGTCCCAGAACTCCAGCCTGGGTCGGTGATGATAAGGGATCGGCGCAGCGTCGGTTAGTGACAACTGCAGCAGCCGGTGCAAAAAACTTCTCTCTGTTTCGCGGAAGGCCCAGTGGTATCTCACTGAGCTTTGTCATGCCATCGAGGGCCACGCTGCATGATCAATCAGCAATATCCACCGTAGAATGGGCTGGTGATTGGCAACTTACTGCGGCACGTGGAAATCGCCTATTCGTATTCTTCTCAGGATCATCCTCTCCTCAGGCAAGACCTTCGTATCGCGCTTGTTCCATATCGTTGAGGTTTACACAGGGTTGTCCTGATGGTGGTAGTTAGAAGATGCAGGAGAGCAATGAGCGTGGCATATGACCAATTTATGTTAAGATGTAGCAGTGCTTTGGTGCAGGTTGAGAGTGGTGAAGAAGAAAAGATGGATGGTATTGTATGATACGAAAGAAATGAGTAAAGAAAAGGAAAAAATATAGAGAATAAATGATGAGAGTGAATAAAATGGAATAAGAAAAGTGACAGAAACAAATAACTAATAAATAGAGAAATCCTAAGTCGTGGTCGGTGCATCTAACTAGATGATGCGTGCAACTGGTAAAGACGAAGACATAGCTGAGAGCAGTGTGAAGATGTGGGCGAAAACCCCAAACGACGGGAACTGTAATGTTGCTAGGGTGAGAAGGGAAAGTGGAAGGATATTGGGAGGGACACAACATATATAGTATCATCGCGGGTGCAGGGCGGTCATTGGTCTCTGCCGTTAGTAACCACAGAAACATTCCACCTGTTTCCCTGTGAGGGAAAAAACTAAAGTGATAGTATACCTCAAGCATCTATTCGTACCTTGGGTGACATCATTATCAGTATGGGATATGAGTCATCGACCGGAGGTTAGTCTCAGGTATTCGTTTCTTTTCGCTTGTGTGCTCATGTCTAAAGCTGAATCCATTTCGGCCCTCAAAATTTTAATCCTTGCTGTCGTCTTTCTCCTCTGGTCTCACCAAGAGACAGGTTAAGTCTCGTTCCACACCTCCGCCCTGCTGTTGCCATTGTAATTCCCAACCCTACACCATAGCATACGAGTTATGGTTGATCCTCCTCGACAGGAAAGTTGCTTCACCATGTACCATGATTCGCGTGTTTCTGTCAATGTTTGGTGTTGTCTGTAGTCTAGCAAGCAGGATATGAACTGCGAATCATCGTCTTCGTGATTGTCATGTAAGATTGCTGCGCAGGAAAAGGGGTGACTGTTAATCTAAGATGGCCACGTCTCCCTACTACGCAGTTAGGTATGCCTGACGATACCAAGAAGTCTGAAGGCTTGAGAAAGGGCTGAGCATGCTTGACCTGGATGACCAATGAGTTGAGCTAGGAAGAATTCCCAGGCAATTTTAGCCTGAAGGAGAACATACCCAGACGTTCTCGGGGTTCGGTTGACCAGAATACTAATAGAACTATGCGTCTCCGCAGAACCTTAAGTTTACCTATTCAAAGTATCCCACGAATGAACGAGATATCCAAGAATTGATGTCTTCCTGCAATTCTACCACGTCCACCACCATTTCTTCACCAATTCCTCCCTATGTCCATCGGTCCTCTCATCCGTCTCGCTTCTCAAAACGGGGCCGTCTCCTTTCTCCAACTTCTTGTTACTGAAGAAGTACCACGAGCTCTGTGTCAATATCTCCAAGACCACTACGGCGGACAGTGCCAAGCAGGCCGTGAAAGCGTTGTGGTACCCCGGAGCGTCCTGCGTACGGAAGACTTGGCTTCCAGCTATTCCAGCAGCATTGGCACCCATAATGATCATTCTAGCAACATGTTAGCCGTCGAATAGCGTACGCTGGCTGAGCGGGATCAAGAGAGTAGAGCTTACGCCATCGCAACACTCCGTTGTTGGGGACGCTGACAATTCACGGTCAGCCAGCCCACGTTGAGGATATGAACGATTGAGTTCGCTGCCATCGAGAAAACCACGGCCGCGTATCTGCGGCCGTGGCTCCATTTAGAGCTCTCCCGTAGACATGTAAAGGCAATCAGACTCCAGAGCGACTCGAACAGTAACATCGGGCCCCGTCTGCCCGTCTTGTCGCACAGCCACCCCAGGATGAGGACCACGACTACAGCAATGAAGCTCCCCACGCTAGCCATCGCATTGGCCCGCACGGTGCTGTACCCCAAACTCTTGATGACGCTCGGTCCGTAGGTGTTGATAGCGTTTACCGGGATTGTCGCGGTGGTAGTGATGAGGATATGTAGCATAATCCTAGGGTTCTTGACTGTCTCCCAGACATCGCTGCCGGTGATGCGGAGATGACCCGAGGTCTTGGTCGGGTCATCAAGAAGTACTCGGCGTGCGACGATGTATGACTCGCGCGGAGTGAAGTAAGACCAGCGCCCGAAACTAATCAAGGGGCTGCCATTGCCTACAGATGGCGGCAGGAACAGCATGAAGATGAGTCCGACCCCGACGGTAATGGCACCTTCAACTGCAAATATGGAGGCAGTGCGTCAGCAAGGACCTGACAGGCCTATGAAGTATAAGATGTGTGAGACGAGGGACCAACCTATGAAGAGCCATCTCCAGCCCGCAACACCGTACCTATCTCCCATGCTAAGGATCCCCGCACCGATGAGTGAGGTCGTCGCGGATGCCAGCAGGTTACCCAGGAAGAAAATGGAGATACGCAGACTAGATTCGTCTTTCTTGTACCAGGTCGACATCGTGTACAGCGCACCTGGTATGAAACCAGCCTCGCAAAGACCGAGCAAGATACGGGTGACCAGGTAGCCCGCATAGTTCGTGATGAAGTTCTGGAATATCGCGACCAGGCCCCAGGCAACGATCTGGCCCGACAGCCACCTCTGCGGCCCCACGCGCTGGAGTAAGATGTTCGACGGGATTTCCAAGAGGACAATCCCCGTCGATAGTAAACTGTTGCCGACGTTGATCTGGTCGGTGGTCACGCCGAGATCCTGGGTGATGGTGCTGGTCAGGGCGTTCGAGATGTTCCCTCGATCCATCTGCAGGGCAAAGAAGGCGAGTCCCAGGATCGGCAACAGGATGAAGTCGAGCCTGGGGACTAAGTTAGACTCTGCTTGCACGGTAGGCGCTGGTTGATGGACTCGAGGTCTGTGGCCATTGTCCAATGCTTACTTCCGCTTGACTTTGAGCTCTTCTGTATCACTCCAATCTGCGGCGGTCGACTCGTCAACGTTGACAGCGACAGCTTCGCCATCACCACTACCCAGCTTGTCGGCGACATCGTAAGACTGCTTGCCGGCCATGGTGTCACACGAGTCTCGCAAACTGCTCAGAGAAGATTGTAGATAACCTAGGTCAGAATGAAGAAGCGGCTCACGTCGCACCGCCCGACTTATGTAGACGCCAGCATCCAGTCACCCAATCGCACCCATGTCTACAACTACGCAATCCTCGATTCCTTCGTTTCCCAGGACGCGGCTGTGGGGCCCCGAGATAACCTGGGGCCAGCAAATAGCAGACATGGTATTGGGTATCTCCAGCCATTAGTGCCTCTTTTGCAAGGCTTTTGGCATCAGATCATGTTGAAACGCGCGTGGGTGGGTAAGATCCCCAGCCGTTATCTGTGACGTGCTTTGTGACCATCTTGCGCCATCGCGATATCACGTGATAACGGCGGGGGCATGCAGATGGGACAGCCCCCCAGATGGGACAGTTCCCCCACCAAAACACAATATTTGCACCCACATATAACCCCATTGGTATTGAGGCTATAGATAATATATATATATCAAAAGAATCACCTTTTCTTGGTGTTTCTAGCAATACCAGTGCTTTTAGCGGTAACACGCGGGTTGGCGGATTTCTCGGCGTCAAGATCGCATCATAATGGGCTCTTTCTTTTTATTATCTGGCTTGTCAGACACTTTCTCGCCCTCTTTGTTAACAATCACCCTTTTGTCTAGATCTTCTAAATCTGTTGAATCAGAGGAGAGGGAGTCCTCAGAAGGCGATTCCTCTGATTCTTTGGTCTCTAAGTTCTGTATTTTACGCAAAAGTCGTCGTCTCTCCGCCCACTGGTTAATCAGCACTTGTGCGGCCTCTATATGCTTGATCTGCTCCTGAATAACGTCTCTTATCCTCCATAGGCATTAATCAGGCTCTTTCTGGGGGGCCTTATGGCGCTTTTTAGGCTATAGATGCTTGATCTTGTTGTCTTTTGCCTCGTTTTGCAGCTTTAGGATGGCTAACTTAATCACCATCTCATCGTATGACTTCGCAACCGTGCGTACTGCTGCTCGTTTGCCAGTGTCTTGTTCCTATTTATGGGCCAAAGGCTAGCAGCACGCCATCCTGAATGTACGATAACAGGAGTAGCTTTGTCACGGGCTTCCGCCAGGCAAGAAAGGAACTTAATCTTGCCAATAGGGACCGAATCGTTCAAGTGACCGAGCTGGTTAATGAGGCGGCGATAAGCGGCCTTCACCACAGAGAAAACGGTCAGATCCAGGGGCTGAAAGATGTGAGACTACCCCTATTAGCGGAATAACTACTAATTAAGGATATAACCTACCGTATGGGCAGGAAAAAAGCTCAAATAGACGTTGTTTATATAACATAGATACATAAAATCATATGAGCAGTGGCTGTCATAGCCGTCGAGCACCAACAGGCAGAACTCATCCGGGTCTTTAGGGGCAGTATTTAACAGATAGATCTAGGGGGTTATTTAGCATATAGTTAACATTAAAAAATAAGAAAAAAATAATCTTTTTAAGCCATTTGAGCGCGATCGCGTTCGAAGACCAGCCATTAACAGAGTAAGTCACTATCCAGTCTGCCACCCCAGGATGCTTGAGAATAAGCTGCTCTTTGAACCATTATGTCTGTATCGACTTTGCCTTAAAGATAATCAGCGGCCGGAGCTTTTTCCCAGTGGCAGTGATCGGTTCTACCACGGTAGTCCACGTGCGGTTATCGTTGGACTTGACGTTGGCCCCTTTTGAGCCAGAACTGCCTATTACAAGGCTATCAGACCTATAACCTTCTGGTTAGCCGTCTGAAAAACACTTAGATTGGACGTACGTATTGCTGGCCCTGTATAATGCCGTACTTATCGACATTTTTGCGGTTCTCGGGCTTGATGAAGTCGAAATCTGTGTAGCGGTCATGATAGTCATGGATGTTGTCAGGAATGGCAGCATTGATACGCTTATATTCAAGTTTTCTGTTCATTTTGGTCTTTATCTCTGGGTTCTGGCGGATGAAATTTTGCATGTAATGGCCCCCAAGATGAGGCGGTTTTCCCTGGGATTATAGGATCTTCTGCATGATGTACCTCACATTGGCGTGAGTAGGGGCATAGCCGGCCTTTTCTTGGTACAGAATCCATAAAATTACCTTCTTTTCTTGAGCAGGGCTTATTTTCTATTTATGAGCATGTCCTTTATTCTAAGTGCTAGTTATAGGCATTGTGGAGTCTTTATCTTTGTGAGAAAGGGTGGTTTTTGGTACTCCATAGCGCTGGGCAGCCTTCCGGAGGGACAGATCGTCACTGTTCACGGCGGCTATCGCCTCAGCAAGGTCTTCTTCGGTGTATAAGGGCGCCATTTTGACGTACCGAATCTTATGATGCTTACAGAAAAAAAGGAAAAAAAGAACCACAGAACTTGTGCCTGGTTGGAGGGGATAAGGGGCACGGGTCACATTACCCCTCAGATTAGGGCCGGACGTACTAGCTTCCGACCCCCGCCACGGGACATCCCGCTGTAGGACACCTAATAAATTCCACATTGGAAGAAACACCAAGAAAAGACAATTCAGACGATATATTTATGATATCTACAGCTTCAATCCCGATAGAGATGTGGGTGGGTGCAAATGTTGTGTTTTGGTGGGGGAACTGTCCCATCTGGGGGGCTGTCCCATCTGGGGGGCTGTCCCATCTGCATGCCCCCGCCGTTACCATTGCTGCATGGCACGCCAGCTGTCAGATAAAACAGATAAGATCATCGTGCGCAGAATGACTGTACACCTTACCGTTTTGGTCTAGGGGTAAAATCCAACACCAGCAACTGTGGCGTTAAGGGAGGTGGCAGTGCACTGAACAAGGCTAGTAGGACATTTTGGACCACCTAGCACACAACAGAGGGATCCTTCCAGATACACAAAGATCAAGTACAACCACTGAATACACGAATATCAACCATATGAACCATCATACACGCTGTTTGACAACCCTCACACGGTCACACCCCTGTCGCTGAGAATCGCGACGTCTTCCCAAACCCCTGGGCCCCGACCAGAGTACGATTGGCTGGTTCACTTGAATAGCACAGGGACGGTAACAATCCATCTTCTGACCTTGAATGAACACTAAGTTCCGAAGACTCTAGCCAGTTAATGGGTTGTGACTGGGGTATCTACCATCCCAGGCGATCACCTCGTTCTCACCTGGTTCTCTTTGGTGCGGAAATCGCCTCGGAAAGATGCTGTCATCAACCAAGCAGCAAGCCTAGCATCGAGGAAGGCAAGCTACTTGGAGATCAGAACAGCGCTGGCAATACGACTCGTAGGTATTTGAATGACGCGTTTGATTACTGGGGTGAAGGTAGACAACGACCACTCATAAAGTATATATGCCCTCTTGTTCTGGGGTGTCCATTATCATATGGGTCCATACGAGATGAGGTAGTTACACAAGGACAGAAGGGAGGCCATAGCCGCATAGACTGCAGGCTTTATCACTGGCTGGAGCATTAAAAGGTTCCCTTGCTAAAGCGATTGCGGCCTTTTCCAGCAGCAGCCCTTCCGATCCTAGATCAGCCGGCGCCAGCACGAGCATAGAGATATTCCGACTGGGTACGTCATCTCTTGAGGGGATAGCAGACTTCTCTAAGAGTTGCTTGAATGAGTCACCATACGCAATACCTGTTGCAAGAATCACATGAAGTTCCTGTCTGGCCATCATTCCATATCCCCAGGGGCTCCCCGCTTGCAATCGTGTCTTGCCCTTCTCATTCTTGTCACGGCGAGCGTACTGAGGAGCTGGGACATGGCCGGCAGCAAGCAGCTATTACTCTATTGACGAGAATATCAAGACTAGAAAGGAAAGGAAGAGAGAGAGAGAGATAGGTACAGTGGGAGGTTGCCCCTTTAAGGGGATCCTCTGGTCAGATCCTTCCCCTATTGGGAAGTATCCGCTTGTCATGCGGGAAGGTCTGTGCAGGCTGTCACAATTCTCGTGTAAAAGCGCTCAGCTCCTGTGGTTTGTGCGGCTTGTTTTGCACCAACATCGACAATCCGTCGATGTCTCCTTAAGTGCTCTCATGTTAAAGGACTACTTAACTTGTCGGACCAGGCTCGTTGATCATGCTGGCCTGCAACATTTGTATTTTACAAGCGAACTCGCTGCTAGGATTCCTGGCTATGGATATCTTATAAGTTTCTGGTAATCATCACAGGTAGATAAATGCCTCAGTCCTCATAATAGGCTCGGGTGCCTCATCAAATTGCTGTAAAAGATGTTAATAAAGAAGGATAAGAGAGTAGATGAAAGGGCCGAGGGCAGTCCGGCACGAGCTTAAACTATATTTAAACTTAACATTTACGATATAAATCTTTTATTTAGTTAAACGATAACCGACTAGTAGCCTTATCCGCTTTATCTTTTATTAACTTAATAGCTTTATATCGCTTATTATTCGATTTACGCTTTTAAATTAACTTTTAAATTTTCGACTTAAATATCTATAAAACGCTTTTAATACAACCTATTATAAAGCGTGATATTTTTATATCTTTAAACTTATTTTATACGTTTATACGTTTCCCCCCGTTATTATATTAAGGCAGGGCTCTTATCCTACTTAATCCAGCCTGATAATTATATATAGCCTGGTTGTTTAACCACTAGGCACTCTTTAAAAAAAACATTATCTTTCTTATTATACGAGGTTTTTAACCCTTATTATAACTTTTAAGTAATTAAAGTAACTATTTCCTTTTATATCCGTAAGTTAAGATTCGTTTATATAAGCTAAATGTCTTTTTAGCTATATTAATATTTTACCTTAATTCTTTAATAGATATATATTTATAGCCTTGTCGATAAGTCGGATCGTACCTTTAAAAGCCTAATACTTATTTTAAACGAAAGTACCAGCCTTAATTAATTATTTCTTCTTTTTAAAACTTTAAAATTGGACAAACTAAATGTTTTAAAAGTAAATTTTTATTAAAGATAAAAGACTAAAAATATTTTTGAAAATTCTAAAATATCGCAAGCTTAATACTTATTAGCTTAAAGCGAAAGCTAATATAAGATTTATAGCTTAATACGTTACTAAAATTATCCTTTATAAATTTGCTATTTCCTGTGGAAAGGTTTAATTAATTAAATAAACAGGTTTTTTTTTAATATGGTTTAGTTATAATTACAATATAAGAAAGTTATGAATTAATAAAGAAAGATCAAGCTTTAATACTTGTTAAACGTTTTTTTTTTTCGTAAAAAGGTAATACTACGGTATTACAGTTAACATTTTACACAACCGGTTAATTAAGTAATTAATAGCTATAAACTTTTGCGATTAAAACTAAGGTTGAAAAAGCCGTAAAAATATAAAACGCTAAGTTTATAATAAGCCACGGTATATCGTTAAATATAATAAGAATAATATTATATTATTTATGTGTATATCGACGACGTATATTGGGCTCAAAGACCTGAAAAATACGAGCTTAAAACCTTTATTAAGTGTTTTTCTTTTACGTTAAATATTCAATTAAATTAGACAAAGCATTATTAATAGTATCGTTATCGAATGATTATTTCACTTTTAATAGATAACAAGACTTTTTTAAGTTAGAACTGAAAAAGCTACTTTAAAGATTGAAAAAAAGCTCTTATAAAAATTAAGACTTTCTTATAAAAAGTTGCGGGTAAAAAAAAATTTTTTTTTTACGGTTTATTGGTATAATTAAAATCTCTAAATTTGTATCAATCTTTAATTTTATATTATGAAGCTTTTAGTAAGCTGCTCAAGTTTTTTATGTTTTAATTAGTACGGTAATTTAATATTATATAAAATTGCAAGGTTGTTTATTATTTATCACGCCTTTATTTATTTATTTATATTATAACTATTTTATCTTTTGGCTAAGAAACATTATTATTTTTTGTTAAATTTTTTAAAATCTAATAATTGTGTTTTATTGCGCGCCTTTCTTAATAAACATGTTATCAATGGATAAATTTATTTTAAAAAAATTGTAAAACTTTATGCTAACTATATTAATATAAGTAAACTATAAGTTTTCGTTAAAGTTACGGTCTTACTTACTACTCAATTAAAAATTTAAATTATTACCTTTATACTTCTAAAAATTTATCAATCGTTTGTTTCAACTTGAAATTTGATAAATAATATTAATTTAAAATATGAATCCTATATGTTAACTTATAATTATTCGTTGCTTTTCTACTTAGTCATATTTTACTGCCGATAAAAAAATAAAAAAAATTAGTTTTTGAAATATTAGTAATACTGTTTATCCTTATATATACCCTTTTATTTAAAATTGTAATATTTAATTTTAACTCAAAGATAACTTTGAGTATTACTTTCGATTCAAAAACTCTTAACAATCGAAAAGGAAAGGTGATGGCTTTAAAGCCTTCAGAAAATAATAACGGTTTAATATACTTTGCGAAGTATTTAATCACGTATTAAATTATAGTATTAACATTTAACAAAATCTAAATAATAGTAATGTTATTGTAAAAGGTTTCTTAAGACCTTATTTTTTAACCTAATATTTGATAGGATTTCGCGAACAGGAACTAACGATAGTTTTTCCATTATATTTATCAAAGAATGAATTAAAAGATTGAAAAGTTTTTAAAAGAAAAGTTATTTTTATATAACGCTACTCTATTTCTTAATATTATTACCGGATTATAATAGTTCGGCTTCATATATCGACTAGGCGTTTATTAAGATTAAAGCCTCATAAGGCAAACGAGTAAAAATTCAAGCCCGTATATAAGTAGTCTAAACCGAATCTAAGGCTTAAGTTGCCTAGCAAAAGCCTTTTTTTTTATAGTTATTACCTTCGCGATGATTTTGAAAACAATATCGTTAAAAAATTAGAGCAATGTACTTAATAGAAATAGAATTACGTAGGTTTATAAAAGGGTTAAAACGGCTTTAAATTATACTAGCTATTTTAATTTAGATAATTCAATAACTATAAATATATTAAAAATAAAAATTTTAAAACTTATAATAATATAAAGGGTATTTTTGTAGGAACAGGCTAGAACGATCAATCATAATACTCGAATATTGTGTCAAGGTCATGATATTACTGATGGTTGGATTGGGAAGTCTAGCTGGACCTGCAGTTCTGGCTAAGTGACCTTACAATCCGGTATCTAATATCTTATCTAATCATTCATGTGGGTTCTTTATGGATGGTTTGACTGTAGAATTACATGGATCCAACATTTTTAATGTTAATTAAATTAATAGTTTTTGCCTTTCCATTATAAATAGGGATGCTTTAAATGTTAAAAACCCACTTTCTTAAACCATGTTACTTTAAATAGTTAAAACATTTAAACCTAAGTATTATATAATTTTTTGGTTTAAAAGCAAAGTAGATCTCTAATAATTCTAAAATTATGAACTAACTATATTTAATTTTGTTCATATAAAGTATTTTAAAACGAAAAGGTTTATATATATATTAGTAACAAAAATTAATAATACCGTTTAAATAACTTGAATGACGGCTTGTTAATTGAAATTATTAAAACTAAAAAGCTGCTTATTATAGAATCATTCTTTATATAAGGGTAAATTTTTTTTCCATAATCCCAACTTTTAATATAAAGTTTATTACAAGTTGTATAAAAGGATTTTATTTTATTCATCTCGACTATAAATATTTCCGCTATAGTAAGATTAATAATAATAGTAATAGTAATATTAATAACGTTAACATTTTAAATTTAACCTAGATATTTAATAGGTTTATTAATATAAGTTATCATTAAGCTACTTTAACCGTCTTTAATAAGATTTTATTTTTTTGACCGAATAATCTGTTTATAAATTATATATATATATAAAATCAATAAAATTAATATACCTATTAAGAAACAAATTATTGAAGACTTTTTTTTTAATTTAATTTGATGAAAGTTCTATTAAATATCATGAAGCAAGAACGAGAATTGAATAATCAAATAATTATAATGCAAGATTATAATACAGTTTTATATAACGAAACATTTACATAAAGTGTCAAAATTACTAGTATAGGTTTTAAAAAACTTATAACTATATACTTCATAAAAAAGACGATTTTTATCAAAAAAGTTATTAACTATTTTAATTCGCTTAAAAAAATTACCCTTACAAAGCTTTTTTAACATTAATTAAATATAAGCAATTTGAAAACCTTTTTTTAATTCAATTATTAGAAAATTACAACTTATTATTTTATGAGCGATTTAAATTTAAGGTTTTTGAAGCAGTTATAACAGGGTGAATGAGATATTAAAATCATAATAAAAAAATCCTTATCGTTATTTTTTATTATAGAACTATCTAATCTTTTTCTAAATATTGTGTAAAAAAATCGGCGTTTATCCACGGCTTTGGAAAGTCTTCGATTTATAACTCGTAGTTCAGTATTGATTTTTAACGTTCATGTTTATATTTTGAATTACGGTTTTTAAACATTAAATGACGCGCTTTTAAAAAAGAACGTAACTTTCGCTTTTAACCAGAATTTTAATTCTTACAAATAATAACGAAAAGAAACTAGGAACCTCTTTAATTGATCGGTATTGTACTTACTTCTTAAAGCTGAATTAAACAACTTAAAGGTTTATAAAAGGGGTTTTTTTTTTTAAAGTTTCAACGCCGTTATATATATTTTTAAGAAATCAATTCGATAAACATGAACGGGTTTAAATTTTTTAAAGAATTAATAACTAGATTAATATAAATATATTAAATGATCAAGTAAATACACTTATTATTAATTTCAAGAAAAAAACGATACCAATTTTAGTAAGCTTTAAAAAACTTATACCGGTTTGTTAAAATAATTCTTAATTTTAGTAATTAAAATATTAATGGATATAGCGAAACAAATGTACGTTAACTTATGGATACTTTTTCTCTAAAAATTCAACGTCCGTTTTTGTTTTTTAAGCCTTTAATAATAATAATAACGACAAAACATTTATATGAATTCTCCAACAAAATCATAGTTTACATTTTTAAAGCTAAATTTTATATAAATATAAACCAGTTTATAAAACCTGATTTTCACATCTTTTAACTTGGTTTATTAAATCTTTAATTATATAATAATCCAATAATTTTAGCAAGTTAAGGTTAAATAATTCAATACGGAAATTTTATTTTAAAGTATGGTTTAATTGGTTATTATATAAACAAGTATAGATAAGCAAACGGGGTTTTTATACGAATTTGTTTTAATATATTAAAAAAAATCAATATTAAAACAACGCATTTATTTCGCAAGTATAAAAAAAACCGGCCATTATGCATTTAACTTTTTAATTTTAGTTTTTTTTTAAATTAAAAGAACTTCAAAAAGGCATTTAAAAAAATAAAAATTTCTAAGATCTTTTCGGCGTTGATAACGTCTATTTAAGATATGAAAACGTTAACATAGTAATTCAACGCTTACGTTTTAACGAAAAAAGCATTAAAATTGAAAGTTAAACTTTTTAATAGTTAAGTTTGAGTATAATAACCATATTATATTAATAAAGCAGTGTCACTATGCCTGCGGCGGTGTGTTGCAATCTGAGATTGATTACGAAAATAACAGGATGAGGAAGGAAAAGAAAGCCATTAAAGTGGTGTGCACAGCATCCACCTTAAGTGGTGGTCCCGTTCCTTCCTTATCTAATCTACACGTGACTAGGTGGGTCACTTGACCAGGAACCAGTTAGGTAGACCGTCATCAGCAGCTGCTTTTAAAGAGGGGTTTTTTTTACTGTTAAAATTAAAAACTATGGAATATATATCTATAAAATTATTAGCTAAAAAAAGCCAATATATAATACTTGTTAAAAGTACGTTATTTAATTAAATAACTTAATAATTTTAATTAGTAAAACTTTTCATATTAATAATAATATTAATTAAAGTTACGATAATATTATGACGTAGGTTACAAGCAAGTGTGACACACAAACGAGAGGGACACTTTCACAAACCTCTCAAACTTTCAACTTCTAACCAGTATTCCTCAACTTACGACAATGGTACCGCGTTATAACGAATTAGACATGCTGTCATGGGGCAGATACAAGCACAGGATAAAGATGCCCATCAATGACTTGTATTGTACGAAAATACTTTGCTGGTAAAGGAAAGAAGGATCTGACATCCCACCAAATTCTGGTGGGGAGATAGATCAACAATCCTGCCCCACTATAATCTATCTAGCTGTGCAGTGGGGCAACGCGTCCACCCCACCAAGTCACGTAGTGGGAGCGCACACACCATGATGGATGGCAAATCCATCACAACTCCCCGGCTCAAAAAAGACTCGACCCGAGGCTTGAACCTTGGGCCCCTCACAAAAAAATCATGCACTTTCCAGGCGGAGGAAGGACGCCCTCGGAGGTCGTAATTAATCAATCAGTTGGGGGCCCTCAATTCCCTTGTGATTAACCAACCACGCCACACACATGTTGGCAAAAATTCGTGGTAACATCCCTCATATACAGCCATCTCACTGCCGTTTCCGCGCACGTGATCTCGTGATTCGCGCGGGTAGATCGTCGTCAGCATGTTTCTTAGCGAAAACGTCGTTTTTAGCAGCTTTGAGCCATTATTGCAGCCTCATCGGGGGTCTCGCCTCGTTGGTATACTCATTGTGGTATTTCTTCAACTTCTCGGCGGAGTTGCGAAAGTCGCTCGCAGGGCACCAAAGCCCGTCTGGGTCCCAGCCCTTCCACAGAACCAGGTACTAGAGTTTTCCGTAATGTGTTTGTGATGTGAGGATCTTTTCAACCTCCTATTCTTCTTCTTCGAGACTCGGATCGACAATTTCACCCTCTGGTTCTTTAGAAACTTGTCCCGGGACGGGATTGTTAGAAAACTTCCTCAATCGATCCGCGTGAAACTATTGCAAGCCTTGCCATTGATTGGACAGCCTCAGCTTGTACGTATTCGGACGATCAGAGCTTTCTTTGATGATCTTGTAATGCTGGCGTATCATCAGATAGTCTAGCTTATCACTTGATCAATCAGTCATTGTACCCGACTTCTTTTTAATATACACTCGATCATGCAATCCAAAGTCGGGCACTCTCTGATACTTGTTCGCCTGTTTGTACATCCGGTTTTGTGCCTTTTTAATCGTTGCTCGTGCAAAGTTGGTATACGCCTTGATCTGTTGCGCCATCTCTTGTGCTCCCATTTGTGTAATACGGTCTTGCTTTGGTAGGAAGGCCAGGGCCTTGGTACGAGCCTCTCAATCGAATGACATCTTCATTGGTCGTCCCGTCATAACCTCTTGCGGTGAGAGGCCTCCCAAGGATTCATGTGGAAGAGATGACTGTATAGCGTCCATCGCAGGGATAGCCTTTGACCAGTCATTTTGAAAGTTGTTAACAAATGGGTGCAGTCGTTGGTCAATATACTCGTTCATGATTTTGACTTGTCCCACAGATTGCTTGTGCGCGGGCATCGAAAATTCCAGCTTCACGCCGTGAATCTTAGACAACTCCTCAGTGAATTTTGAGATGAACTGGGGGCCCTGATCGCTAGTGAATGATTCTGGCCAGCCGAGCAAGCCATATGGTCCTTTGTAGTACATCCAAGCGGCGTCTTTGGCTGTGGCGTATCGAAACAAGATATCGACCACGAGGTCTTTAATAATTGGTCGATTATTACAAACACGTTGTTATATCCTTGTTCGTCTTTTGGCATGTTCTTGAAGTCAATAACAAGATCTTGCCATGTGCCCTCAGGAATCGGCAATGGGGTAAGCAGTCCAGGAGTCTTGTTCCTCGGGTTCTTGGCTGCCTTGCATTCGCAGTTCTCAACGTACTGAGTCATGTAAGTATGTAAACCAGGCCACCAGTATTGTTGAGCGACGAGTTTCTAAGTCTTTCCCCTCCTTAGATGAGCAGTACCAAGAGTACCATGGGCCTCCCGTGTAATTTTGGTTCAGAGATTGTCCTGTTCGGGAACAACGAGTCTCCCCTTGTATAAGATCAATCCACCCATCATTGTAAAGTCTTCATTGGTCTTGTCGTCAGCTTTCTGTCAGTACTCATCAAGATCTGGGTCTTCCCGATTCATCTTCAAGACCTCATCAATAAGAACGATTCCGGACAAGTGTGGGGGATCAGATTCATCGAGGACGAAGATCTCGGCTGTCAGCATGGGTACGTCAGAGGTGATATCGATTGAATGCATATGGTCTGAAGCCACTGTTCGGAACAGGGTTGTGGTTCGTTGGTAGTCCCGCATCTCTTTCTGGGTCTTGACATCCCCATCTTGTCGTGACAATGCGTCTGTAATGGTGTTCTTTGATCCAGGGTAGGATGTGATCGTGAAGTTGTATTGGGATAGGAGTTCTTGCCAGTTGGCTTGTCTCAGGTTAATGACTCGTTTCGTTCCAAAGTTTTCGAGCGCTGAATGATCTGTTATCACTGAGAATAACCTGTCAGTCTAGAGTCCCATAAGCTGGGGTCTCCAAACCAGCAATGCTTTTATAACTGTAAGTAATTCCTTATCGTGAATACCGTAATTCAGCTCCGCTCCCTGCAAAGTCTTTGAAAAGAACGCTATAAGATGCCAGGGTTCTTCGGAAGACGATCATTGAGACATCGTGCCAGCAGCAACTCCATTAGAAGCGTCGGTTTCAACCAGAGTCTCCTTCTTGTATAAGAAGTTTTGGAGAACGGGCGCTGTCAAGAGAGCTTACTTCAAGGCATCAAACGCTGTTTGGCAAGATTCGGACCAACGAAGGTCGGAATCGTTCTTCGTCAGTTCGTTCAAAGGTTTAGCTATTCGTCCGTAATTCTCAATGAACTTTTGGTAGAAATTGCAAAAACCAAGGAAGAAACGCATTCCTTTCAGAACGACCTTGCCGTTATTCATAAGGATCTCCCAATCGCGCACCACTTGGATCTTCTCCGGGTCGACTTCAATGCTGTCGGTCCCGATGAGAAACCCAAGGAACTTCGTATTTGTAACATAAAATTCGCACTTATTGAGGTCGGCTTGAAGACCAGCCTCCCTCAGGCGATCCAGGATCTTCCAAACATGAACCTCGTGCTCTTCCACGCTATCCGAAAAGATTAGAATGTCGTCAATATAGGCTGTGCAGAACTCGTCTAAGTATTCACAGAAAGTGTCATTAATGTAACGTTGGAACGTGGAGGGTCCATTGGTTAAACCGAATGGGAGGACTTTGTACTAATAAGCGCCATATCGTATACGGAAAGTGGTGATATCCTCTTCTCCTTCAATAATTTGTATCTTATGGAAGGCTTGTCGTATATTAATCTTCATGAAGATCTTTGATTGACCAAGGCATGAAAGGGTTTCCTTGATCAACAGAAGAGGATAACGATCCTTAATTATTATAGCGTTAAGTTTCCGATAGTCGACACATAGGTGTAAACCTCTATTGGCTTTTTGCGCAAAGAGGATTGGTGCTGCCCAGGGCGCGGAAGATGGTTTGGTAAAACCCTTCTAGAGGTTTTTGACAATGTATTTCCGGCAGGCCTCCATCTCCTCCAGAGACATCTTGTATAGGGGGCTGTAACCGAGGTCTTCCGGCTTCCCCACGAGATCGATCTTGTGGTCAACTCCAGGTCGTGAAGGTGACAACTCATCGGATCTGACCTTACTGAACACATCCAAGTGATCGTGGTATTGGCGTGGTACCAGCTCTTCCGCCTTGCGCCGCAGATCATTATCATCGTCATTCAGCATGGACTCCTTCTTCTTCTGAGTAATAACACCGTCGATGCTGAACAGAGTGGTGATACTGTATTCTATATCTTGTTCTGCAATTGTTCGTGTGAAGGAGACTGCATTTACCATTGCCACTTCGAGAGGACAGTGCCTGTACCATCCGATGCCATCCCTCCGCATCACATAAGGGCCTTGGGCATCATATTGTACCTTTTCGGAAAAGGACGGTTCAGGTCGATCTCAGACCGGGATGTATGGTGCAGTAAGTGGGGGTGTCGAGATATGTCTTCAAGATACTCCTAATTGAGAGCTTCCTTTATCTTGTCATAGCACGAGCCGGTAGACGATCATTGAGGCTGTAAAATAGCTAGTGGTGCTTGTTGTAGAGGTTTGTCAGTCAATATGTAATCTTTGAGAGGTTCCTGAATAGGAAGAGAAGGATTAGCCACTTCGTCAATCCTCGCCTTGATGAGGCAGAGGTCAACATCTTTAAGTAGCGTTTCAGAACCTTCTCTATTACGCCAGTGAGGAGGATCTAGAGCAAATTGAACAGAAGGCTTTTGATAGTTTGTTTTCGAAGGATCTGGAGTAACCTGAGTAGGTGGCTCTTAGTTTGTTTTTTTCAGAATACTTCAAAATAGAGGGGATCCGCGATGTCCATCCTGTCATTATTGGTCATCCTTTTCCATCAGCTCGTCTCGTCTTCTAGCATCTTGAGCGACAGCTGGGTGTTTGAGGAGGTCACCTGCCTCATCCATGGAGCTCTCCTTACCACCCTGGTAATCAGGCGTCCAATCCGAGGAGAAAAGAAGTCTCTTCCTTGGAGAATCCACGAGGACATCGTGGTGATCCAGGAACATCTTTCTTAATATAACATCGTACTTCATATCCACAACCAGTAATGGAGTATCGTCGATCATACGACCTTGGATGCGGAAGTGCGCTTTCAAGACTACGTCAACAGATTGTGTTGCCTAACCATCGAATCCAGCGATAGGTACTGGTTTGAAGTCTTCGATCTTAATAGTCTTGAGGTATTTCAAGATCTTGGCTGCAAACTTCAGGTTCACGAGCAAATAGGCACCCACACCGGTATCGGCAAGACATCGCGCGGAGAGAGAAAAGCCATATTGACCATTGTACAATTCAGTAGGAAGGGATCACCTCCTAAGACCTGCGTCAAATCAAATGGTATCTTCCTGCACGCATTAATATCAAGTGCCAAAATCATGTGCTGAACCCCAGGATGTGTGTCTGTTCTTCCTTGAGTTAATCTTTTACCTCCTCTTCGCTCAGCTTGTAAGCATTAGAAGCGTGGGCGGCTCTCATGATCGCTCTGATTCGAGCCTCCTCGATCTTCTTATACTTGGCCTTCAGATCACACTCAGGGCTGCGATGACCTGGTTCGTAACAGATGAAGTACTGTCCCTTAGGGATTAAGGATTGGGTCTGGTCGTACGAGGGCTTCGCGTACATCTTCTTGCCGTTCGAAGCAGTACCTGCAACAGCGATGCCATGATGATCAACAGGTTCGGGAGATCCGCGATTGCCGTTCCCACCCGGGATGGGTTGAGGGAGTCGAGGACCAGGGAGAGTGTTGTTGTTATTCGGGGCCTTTGCCGCGTCAGGCTTATCTTTCTTTGCCTTCATCTATCGGAGCAAGAAGTTCTTGCGTTGCTGACAGTCGTAGCGATCAACATATTGACAGAACGCAGAGAAGTCTACCAAGTCGTCATCCTTCTTATCAAAGGAGATGGAGTTAAGGCGATCCAGAAGTCGCTTAAAGAGTTCCTTCTTCCAAGTAGACTTTACCTTCCGACTCATGCCTGCGAGCTTCACGAACTCGAGCTTGAAAACAGGGAAGTCCTGACCCTTGGTCATCTTCAGGAAATCGAACAATTCGTTCGTCTTGTCCTTTGCGTGATGATTCTTATAACTCTCATCCAGGTAGTCAATGACTGCTTGGCTTGTCGTGAGAATGGGTTTTCCGTTCTCATCTTCTTCAATGAAGGGTAGGAGGTTGTCAGAGGCTGTACCACCGAGATGTCCTATGATATAGATAATCTTTTTGTCATCAGTGGCGAAATGATCCGCATTGCTCTGGAACTTCTTTTTGAGGAGTAAGAACCAGGTCTGAAACTTGACCAGAGGGGTCTTGTCCGTGGGAAAAGGAGTATCATTAGTGAAAATGGGGGGATCTTTTTGTTTCGCAGAGCGTTGAGTACCTCCCTCAGAGTGATTGGAACCGGGGGTGTTCTTGCGGGGGTTACCAGCCATGAGAACAATCTTCTCCTTAAGTAAGGCAATTGTCTTGTCCTTCGTCTTGAGCTCCTCATATCAATTGGTGTTGACAGTCTCTATGAGCTCATCATCCTCTCGAACACGCTGAGCTGATCAAACAGGTCGGCCGTCTTCGTTAATCTCCTGTACCTCAGCCTCAGGACGTCGGTCAAGTTCAGCCTTGAGATCGGCGACTTGCTTGTGGACGTCAAGGAGTTCGGTGAAGTATGAGGTCGCGTATCAGTGCATTGAGCCAAGATTGACATTAAAAGTGACTAACAGGTTCCAGAGATGGTTGGTCATGTCACGATTAACCATCGAGGCAAGGGTTCTGAGCTTCATCTCTTGAAACAATGCGTCGGTGTTGTCAGCGTACATCTTGTTGAAGTTCATAATGTCACATAGACCTGTATAAGAAGGCCACTCTGTTTGACCATCTTCAGTCAGCACGACAAAAGGCATAGCAAGGCCCTTGTCACTCTCATGACACAGACAGCGGCATAGTGAGTGATGTACTGGTATATCTCGTCGTGGACATCTCCAAGGTCCTGGTTGAGTTGGTAATGAGTGAACAGCTCTTTATTGGCCTATTTAAGGAAGGTCTCGCGATTGCTGAGGTTACAGGCCTGACCTTTGTAAAGGTGGAGAGTCTCGCTCTCGGTATCTTCGGTGAATGTGGGGATGATGTTTTGCTCTGCCGCGTTAGCAGTCTGCTTAATGATAGAGTCGCGTCAGACTTGTTTCTTTGGCCAGAGCTTCTGGAAGATCGTCTCGTCGTACTGGACTTGCTTCTTTGCGCTCGCCTGCTGCTGGCGTTCTTTGTCTGATCGTATCATTGTGGAGGGATCGGTTTGTTCGTGGGCGATGTGTGGTTGACACGCTAGTCGAGGCGCGTCAAGATCAGGATCAGGTCTTTCAGGTCGGTTCTTTCGTTCGTGGAAATTTACGGTCTTCCCAGACGACTGTGATTGACCAAAGTATGGTCATGGGGCAGATACAAGCACAGGACAAAGATGCCCATCAATGACTTGTATTGTACGAAAATACTTGCTGGGGAAGGAAAGAAGGATCTGACATCCCACCAAATTCTGGTGGGGAGATAGATCATCAATCCCGCCCCACAATAATCTATCTAGCTGTGCAGCAGGGCAACGCGTCCACCCCATCAAGTTACGTGGTAGGAGCGCACACACCATGATGGATGGCAAATCCATCACACATGCAGCTAGCTGACCAAGCTAAAAAATAAGACTCTTATATTTCTGTTCAAAAGCTTGCTGAAACATTCTACGTATTAATCTCTATACTGGCACAAAGAATCACCGGCTGAGCACTATAATGTGATAGCATATCTAATTCTTTGAAACTTATGGTTTCTGAAAAGAATACTATTTGCTCCTTTATACTCGCCCTGAATGCGCAAGCATTTCTGCCTTGTTGTACTTATGTTAAAGACATAGCAAATCAATTGTTGGTAGCACGTGGGGCTGGACAGAACGGAAATAACTGGAAGGCAAACTTCATTAAACGTACATCAGGCCTCCGGACACGGTTTTATCATAGGATGGACTATTCAAAGGTCTTGAACGAAGATCCAGACGTGTATTGCGTATGGTTTCGCCAAATTGCGGCAGCAAGTGTGAAACATAGTATCCAAGATGCGGATATTTATAATTTCAATGAGACTGTGTTTATGATAGGCATTATTGGGTCCGGCATGGTCATTATAAGCACCAAAAGACATGACAGGTCTACACAAGCTCAGCAAGGTAACAGGGAATAGTCTATAGTAATCTCTGCTATTAATGCTGATGGTTGGGTGGCCCCGTTATTCATCATTCTATAAGGCAAAACATATCTCGCGTCATGGGTCCGCAACACAACATTACCACGCGATTAGAAGGTGGCTGTATCCGACAACGGGTGGACTACAAATGAGATCAGTTTGAAATGGATTCAGCATTTCGATAAGTATACCAGACCGCGTATGACCGCTGGTAAACTCCTCATTATCCTAGATGGTCATGAAAGCCACCATTCCCAGGTCTTTGGTGATTATTGTTAGAACAACGGCATTATTACCCTTTGTATACCTGCATACGGAGGTTGATTACAAGAAAAAATGACAAGGTGGGAGAAAAGGAGCAGGTGTGCGTACAGCCGAGGCTACAGTACATATGGTCCTGGTCTCCTTATCTAATCTACACATGACCTGATGACTCAGCATTCAACCAGGTGGATACAGTCGTACACCGTCACACGTGACATCATTCGTGCTAGTATTTAACACTACTAGTTACATAGGCTCCAGCTGTTGAATACACGGATGTTGATTGATTCTATTGATTGTTCTGCTCTGCGTGCAGAGATTGATCATCTGTCTTCTTGGTGGGTCAGATGCCTTATGCGTCTCTGCACCACTAGAGATCTTCCAGTGTCTATCACCGGCTCTCATTCAACACATTCGTGCTAGTATCTAACACCAGCTTTTAGATGTCAGCTGTTTTAGCCCGCTCAAACAAGCTTAAAATCGTATGATTAAAGATCTCATCTGGGGTCATATAACCCATATTTAAAGTAGGACTTTCTTGTAGCGTTTTGCAAAGCACACGACGCTGCCATAACACTGGAAAACGTTTGAGCAGGTTTTAGTACCACTGGCTTTGTTACTTTTGACGCAGAAAGTGTTATTTTAAAGCTGGATGCTGTCACTGTTGTACAAACAACATCGCTAGACACCAATCTGCCACCTACTATTTGGACTTCAAAGACGCCTACCACCATTAATAAAGCGGAAACTAATTGGTTTATATCAAAAATTGAGTCAGAAACCACCAAAGAAGCTCACCAACATCAATAAATAACGTATTGAGCTTGTTTTTTAAGACTACATACGGTCTTATACATAAGGTCGCTTTGGTTGATTCCTGGGTCCGCGAGCTAGAGGATGCCAATCACTTATTGGATAAATGCTAGAAAATAAAAATCAAATGTCTAATAAAAAAGAAATACTTTTTGTTAAAAATATAATAGATCTTCGGGCTGCAAAGAATAGTATTGAGCTGGCAAGACAGGAAATGGGCGAAGATAGTCGTGAGAAGGGCAGCAGCGCGTGAGCGACGATGTGGCGTTTGCGGCAACACTGGCCATAATGCGCGAACTTGTACAATAGAGATAGAAATGTCTGAAAAAGAGGATTCCGAATAATTAGATCGAATTCAACGCGTTATAATTAAGTTATTTGACATGTTGATTATAAGGTTCATAAAAGAGTCCCGCTTGCTTGTGTGTCCTGCTCGCTTGTGACCTACATTAAGCGGTAAATTTTTAATTTTTGATATTAGTATTAGTAAAACTAACAATGATGATAATAAAGAAAATAATATCTTTAGCAAAAAAGATGCTTAAACAAAGTCAATAGTTGTTGGAACAGGCTTGAACAATCAATCATAATACTCGAGTATGGGGTCAAGGTCATGATGTTGCTGATGGTTGGATTGGGAGGTCTAGCTAGACTCGCAGGTGTGGCTAAATGACCTCACAATCCGGTCTCTAATCTCTTATCTAATCATACATGTGGGTCTTGGTATAGATGGTTTGCAGGCTGGAATTGCATAGATCCAACAATAGTTAAAATGGTATTTTCAAAAGATATTAACTTAACGCTTTGAAGTATAATAGTTAATTAAGTATTGATATTTTAATAAATACTGCTGTTGGATTCATGCGATTCCAGACTGCAAACCATCTATACCAGGACCCATATGTATGATTAGATAAGATAAGATAGTGGATTGAGAGGGCACTTGGCCAGACCTTCGAGTCCAGCTAGATTCCTCTCAATCCAACCATCAGCAACATCATGACCTTGACCCCATACTCGAGTATTATGATTGATCGTTCAAGCCTGTTCCAACACTGATCAGTGTTGTCTCCCAAGGCAACACAGATAAGCAAGGAAAAGAAGAGATCTACTGTATCAACGTTCCTGACACGAGACTCGGGATACAGCCAAAGATCTGGATCTTCTGTCGCAAACGTTCTTCCAGAGGAGGCGATTCGAGGCACAGCACGAGATCCGAGGTTTTCTACTGCAAACGTTCCTCCAGAGGAGGCGACTCGAGGCAATAGATTACGCTGTAATCACAGCAATATTCACATCCCCGCGCGGCAGCACAGACTGCTGACAGAACCCTCCCCCACACATCTATCCGACGCGCCCGTCCGACACACGCCCATCCGACACATGCCAGATTGTTGACAGAACCACCTGACACACATCCATCTGACGCGCTTGTCCGACACACACCCGTCCGACACACGCCCATCCGACACATGCCAGATTGTTGACAGAACCACCTGACACACATCCGTCCGACACACGCCCATCCCACACGCCCATCCCACACGCCTATCCCACACGCCCATCCGACACGTGCCCATCTGACACGTCCATCCGACACGTCCATCCGACACGCCCATATCCAACACAAGTACATCCGACACGAGTACATCCGACAAGATGGCCTCCAGCAATGGCAACAGCGAAATCCAAGTCGCTCAAGACCCTGCTGACATCCTGAGAGATAAGAAGCTACGATACCTTGGCAAGCACAATCTACATGCCAACCTTGTCGACTCCATCGACCTCGATATGATCCATCCAGTCGATCTGAGAGATGACGACACTATTCACATCAACTCGTACACCCTAGCCTGCATTGATCGCTATAATAGCAATGAGAAGCCTGTCCCTTACGACATCTTTGAGAGCTTCTGAATGGACTTTGAAGAATGGACAAGAGACAACTTCGAGAAGATTGAACGAACCATCCGAGGTATCTTCCGAAAATGCCTTATTTCCCAAGGAATCTATCTAGGCAAGGCAAACCACTCTATCGCGGACGCACTTGCCAACCTCGTAACCGCAGAAGACCTTCCTGTCTGGGACAAGATCACGCTTGACAGGACAAAACTGTTATATCCAAACCCTGACC